GTCCTCCAGGTGGGGGAAGGAACACTGGGTGGCCGCCTGCTGGAGTCCGGCCAAGAACTCGGAGGCCGGCTGTTGGGATTCTTTTTGAGTAAGTCAGCAGAGCATTAAGAGACTGAGTCCATGGTGTGTTTTAAAATATAAAAGTTACACAGGAAATAAAATAACAAAGAGCTAATATGGCTACATCCTTACAGCTAAAAGGTAAAACGGGAAGAGAATGGCGTCTCCTTCTCAGTCAGAACAAAGAGAGGAAAGAGCAGCCAATATGCTAAATACTTGACACATTGGTTGCCAATCAGACTAGCAAACTAGCTCCAAAGTTCCCCGGGCATTCTCTTGTCTAAACCGATTGGTTACAAACAAACATGTGACTTAACAAACATCATTAACCCTGTATATACTGAAGTGTTTTGACTTGTAACACCCAACAGCTTCCCGGGAGGTCTCCCAGGCAAATAACTAACCAGGGCCGACCCTGGCTTGGCTTCCGAGATCTGGCCAGATCAAGCTCTAGGCCTGCCTTTGGCTGGGTGATGGTGGGGCTCTGCTCAGCTCTGTCTCCAGCCAGCCGCTCCATCCCCCCTTGAAACTGCCTCCCAGCGCACTTCTCCTGGTCTCTCCCCCCCCAAAAAAATAAAGGCTTCGGTGCAACCGGGAGGCAAAGTCTTCTCTCCCTTCTCCTCCGTATCCTCCCCTCCCTTGATGGCCCAGCTCCGTAAGGCTTTCCTTTCACACACACCCTCCTCATCAGTTGACCTTTATTGGTATAAAGGTAAAGGTTCCCTTGTTCGAAAGCCAGTCGAATCCGACTCTAGGGTTGCGCCCGTGTGGAATGACAAAATCCACTTGCGAACTGTGCTGAAGTGGATTGAAACGGCATCAGTACTTAGGGTCAGTGTTCCCTCTAAGCTGAGTTAGTGTGAGCTAGCTCAGTTTTATAGCCTCTGGCTCACACATTTTTGTCTTCGCTCAGGAAGGAGGGCTCCAGAGAAAACTAATTTATGCAGCAGCCAAATTGCTCGCTCACAACTTTCGTGCCAGTAGCTCGCAAAGTAGTATTTTTGCTCACAGGACTCCACAGCTTAGAGGGAACATTGCTTAGTGTGTGTGGAAGCACCCTGACCATTTTTCCTCGGGGCAGAGACCTGGGCTGCTGTCAGCGCGCACAATAAATAATCCACTTTCAATGAACTTTCCAACTGGATTTTACTGTGTGTGTGAACTGGCAAAACCCAGGTGGAAAGTGCATTGAAAGTGGATTATTTCCCGTGTGTGACCTCCGCCCTGCACTCTGTACAGCGCTTTGCTCCTTACCGCGGGTTATATGTTCGGGAAAGCGGAAGGCAGCAGGAAGAGAAGACCCAACGAGAGATGGATGGACTCCATCGCGGCATCCATGCCCCCCCCCTCCCCGGTTTGCAAGGCCATCAGGCAGAAGCGACTTGGGGACACTTTTAACACCCACATTGTTCCTCTTATTAAAACGCCATTTTTGTCCTCGGGGCTGGGGGGGGGAGGGATTTGGAGGGACCCGGGAATGCCAGAATTCGCCAACTGGCGTTTGTCCACCCGAGTTCACGTGTGCATTGGATCCGTGCTTGGCCCGCGGGTCTGATCCTGCCCTACAGTCGTAGCTGCGGCCCCAGTTCAGCCCCCGCAGTGCGAGACCAGGAATCGCTGCGCGAGGTCGAGATTTGCTAAAGAAGTCATTTACAAGCCTTTTGTTTCGCCATCAAGTCACGGCCGATTTATGGCGTCCCCGAAGTTCTATTCCAAGCCAAGGGACGTTCAGGGGCGGTTTGCCATTGCCCGCCCTCTGCACAGCAAGCAACCCTGCGTGGTCTCCGATTCAAGTACTGACCAGGACCAACCCTGCTTGGTCTGCACCTAGCCTGGGCCATCCAGGTCAAGTCTAAACGCAATCTTAGCACCCTTCCGACTAAGACACCTGGGTTCAAATCCTCCCGCTACCACTTTGCTCCCTGGGGCAGACCTGGGCCAGTTATTTTCTCTCTCGGCCAGCTCTCACGGGGCTGTTCCAGGGCTAAAAATGTCCTGGATTGATAGCGCCCCCAGATTTCCTTGGGGCGGAATTTCTGGCTTTTGCTTTATTGTAGCCCGCCTCTGCTGATCTCCGCCCCAGGCGACTCGAGCCCAGTTCGGACAAATCCTTTTTGGGAGGATAAATCTCCTCCAAATCCGTGGAACTGATTTTTCAGCTTGCATTTCCTTGGCAGTCAGGATCCAGTTCGGAGATAAGGCCCGGGATGTCTCTGGGCTGGCGGGGGTTTCCTTCCCTGTTCGAAAGGCGAAGGTCCTCCTAGCTTCTTCTCCATCTGCCCGCCCTTGAAAACAGGCTTCTCGATTTCTATCCATACAGCAATTTTTCGTCTGTAGTTCGGGGAGGGGCGATATCCGTCACTAGCAGCTAAACACAGCTGGGAAACCTGCAGCAAAATAGCTTTTAAGAGAGGTGGAAATCTTGTTTTGGAAAGAAAGATCAATGGGGATTAATTCATAACTACAAATCTGCTAGAACAAATCGAGGGGCCTTTTTAACGGACATTTTCTACCGGCTACCTGTGTGCCCGGTTGTTTTTTGGTTCTTTCTTTCTGCTCGAGGGGGGGGAAATGCCTTCTTCCTGGGAGAGGAATTGGGCACTGAAAACGACACACGTTCTCTTGATGCACCAACATTTTGCTGTTTTAACAAGAAAGGATTTCCTTCCCCCTGTAGAAATATTAGCAGCCCTAATACAGTATTAGAATGTATGGCAGGATAGCCGAGAAATATTTGAGGGGCTAATGCCCCCTTGTGGTCAAATGAAGAGTAGGCGATGTTTACATACATTTCAAACAAACCCTTTATGCCTAGGGTTAGAGTTGAAGATGCAGTTTAGCTTTTCTTAAATCCTTTAATTTGGCTAAATTGGGGGTTGGCCAGTAAGTGACTTTTACAAGCATGAACTGCTGAAACATGAGTGAAACCACGAAGATATCCAAGTAGTTCCCCTTTGTTGTTGTTGTTCAGTCGCACAGTCGAGTCGCGACCCCATGGACCAGCTCCCGCCAGACCCTCCTGTCTTCCGCAGTCCTCTGAAGTTGGCTCAATTTCATGTTAGTTGCATCTATGACACTGTCTAACTATCTCATCCTTTGCCGTCCCCGTCTTCTTTGACCTTCAATCTTTCCCAGCATCAGGGTCTTCTCCAGTGAGTGCTCCCTTCTCATTGAGTGGCCAAAGTATTTGAGCTTCAGTTTCATTATCTGGCCTTCCAGGGAACAGTCAGGGTTGATTTCTTTGAGGATTGACTGATTTGCTCTTCTTGCAGTCCAAGGGACTCTCAAGAGTCATCTCCAGCACCATAGTTCAAAAGAATCTATTCTTCGGCGCTCAGCCTTCCTTATAGTCCAACTCTCGCAGCCATACATGACTACTGGGAATACCATTGCTTTGACCATGCGGACTTTTGTTGGCAGGGTGATGTCTCTACTTTTTATCATGCTGTTTAGGTTTGCCATCACTTTCCTCCCAAGGAGCAGGCATCTTTTAATTTCATGGCTGCAGTCACAGTCTGCGGTGATCTGGGATTCCAGGAACGTGAAGTCTGTCACTACTTCCACGACTTCCCCTTCTATTTGCCAAGGAGTGATGGGGCCGGATGCCATGATCTTAGTTTTTTTGATGTTGAGCTTCAAGCCCACTTTTGCGCTCTCCTCTTTTACCCTGAGCAAGAGGCTCTTCAGGTCCTCATCACTTTCTGCCAGTAGAGTGGTATGCTGCATTTTCCCCAGCAATCTTAATTCCCACTTGTGATTCATCCAGGCCAGCATTTCACATAATGTACTCTGCATATATATTAAATAAGCAAGATGACAATATACATCCTTGTCGTACTCCTTTTCCTATGCTGAACCAATCAGTTGTTCCATATCCGGTTCTAACTGTTGCTTCTTGGCCCTTATACAGGTTCCCCTAAACTGGTTCATTTGTTTTATTTATTTATTTACTTCATTTATATCCCACGTTTTCACCAATGGTGACCCAAAGTGGCTTACATAATTCTCTTATTAGAACATAAGAAGAGCCCTACTGGATCAGACCATCTAGGCCACCATCTTGTCTCACACAGTGGCCAACCAGTTCCTCTGGACAGCCAACAGGGCCTAGAGGCCGAGGCCTTCCCTGATGTTTCTTCCCAGCACTGGGATTCAGAGGCTGACTACCTCTGAATGTGGAGGTTCCCCTCAGTCACCATGGCTAGTAGCCACTGATAAACCTATCCTCCATGAATCTTTCAAATCCCCCTTTAAAGCTGTCTATACCTGTGGCCATCACTACATCCTCTGGCAGTGAATTCCACGTTTTAATCACTCTCTGTGTAAAGAAGTATTTCGTTTGGTCTGCCCTAAACCTACTGCCCATCAGCTTCATTGGATGCCCTCAAATTCTGAGAGGTAGGTTAGGCCGAGAGTGGGTGACTGGCCTAAGGTCACCCAGCAAGCTTCCATGGCAGAACGGGGATTCGCACATGGTTCTCCCAGATCCTAGTCTCTAACCACTACCCCACGCTGTCTCATTGTTAGAAGAAACTTATGGGGCCCAAACCTAGAAATCAAGCAAACAAGCAAACAATAGAAAAAGTCGAAGAAGAAGAAGAAGAAGAGATTGGATTTACACCCCACCCTTCACTTGGAGTCTGAGAGCGGCTTACAAACTCCTTTCCCTTCCCCTCCCCACAACAAACACCCTGTGAGGTGGGTGGGGCTGAGAGAACTCTGACACAAACGGCTCTTTTCCAAGGACAGCTGTGCCAGAGCTTGTGACTGACCCAAGGTCACATCAGCAGGTGCAAGTGGAGGAGTGGGGAATCAAACCCGGTTCTCCCAGATTAGAGTCCGCGCACTTA